CACTGCTGCAACTTGGCTCTGGCTGCTGCTGAGATGGTTTTTTTTACTGTCTTTTACTGAATTCTTCAGGAAAATGAACACAAAACCTTTCTAAAAGCTCAATCCCCAATCAGCCCTTGCAGGGGCTCTGACGTTACAGGAGCGTATAACTTTAAAGCCACMAAAAAAAMCCMAAAAAAAAACCACACCAACAAAAGGGATGAAGCAATAAAACCATAATTAAGCTCCAGCTGAGGGTAACCACAGAGAAGGACAGACCRCAGATAATCATCTCTCCCAAATCCAGGAACATTGCCACAGGTTGTAACCTCAGGCCAACCTCATAAAAGTCTTTAAGACCATTTTTTTTCTCCCATGGAATATCACATGGAGGCAGTTTCAGGATGGGTGAAATCCGTATAGTAAACAAACACATATAAAAAAGGAATTGGTGGAAAATAAAGTGATTGGCAGAAAACTGACACWGAGTATCTGTAGTGTTTTCCTACCGTCTCTGAGGGCTTTTAGCACCTCCAGCAAATTTCCTGCACCTCCAGGGGAATTACAGTGCAATAAAATGTTAAAGCATCACAGCTTTGAGTGGCTGCACAGTAAGTTCTTCACCAAACAGAAAAGCTCAGGCACTTCCAAATGATTCCACTGCACCACAGCTCAGCTGCAGACCCCAAACTTGCCACGTGCAGGATCCACAGCCCTCAGAATCCCAGAATCTGAAAAAAGCTCATCCAGTGCCACCCCCTGCCACACCTTCCACTATCCCAGGTTSCTGCAAGCCCTGTCCAACCTGGCCTTGGAMATTTCCAGGGATGGAGCARCCAYAGCTGCTCTRGGCAACCTCTGCTCCCATTGTTATCCCACTGGGATGGAGGGATTGACATCTCACAGGTAATCAGGGAGAATAAGCTCTGCTCCAGTCCCACTGAGGTAATGTTCTAGGTCTTTCCTCCAGCCCTAGCAGCACATTTTGAGAGCAGCAAGAGGCAGGTGTGCAGTGCAGGAGCAGGGGCCAAATTCCCCCTGACCTGGGATCTCTGGAGCTTTTTTTTTTTTTTTTTTTTTTTTTTTTTACTTTTTTTTTTTTTTTTTTTTTTTTTTGTGCATTCCTGTCATCATAAGAACAATTTTTAAGGTAATTTTTCTATGTAACACACATTTCTTCCTGTAAAACACCATTTATGCAGGCAAATTAAACGTATTTTTTTTTTTTTGAGCACATTAATTTTGTGCTCTGATCTCTCAGTATCACCAGGCAAACAACACCCAGCACAGAGGAATGTTCTCTTTCAGCCACGTTAGTGATCCCACCCAATGTAACCGAGTGACAGGTTCAGGGGGCTCAGGGGGCACATGGGATAAGCCAAGGGATCCCTCTTTACAGGAAACCACTTTTATTTTTGCCCGGACTTGGCTTTCAAAGTTGGGAAGCCTCACACTCCAGGGGAGGGAAATTCAGGGCACAATCTCTCCAYGGTGTTCATTAGGTCATGATCTTTTCTTTTTTCGTTATTAAAAATATATCCTCGCTCCAATCCCCCCTCCCGGGGCGGCTGCACGGCAGCCTGGCGGACCGGGAAGCGGGAGGGAAATGCTTCTCCGATGTACCCAGAGCACCCTCTGCCGTCAGCGCTTGCCGGCAGCGATCCCGGTTGTCAGGGGAACCTCAGGSAGAAGCATCAGCTCTGGCAAACTCACCCTGCCTGGCGATAACATCGGCATCGATCACRGCACAGCCCAGCTCCCGCAGCACGGCCACCACTGTGCTCTTCCCCGACGCGATCCCACCYGACAGTCCCACCAGGAACATCGTGCTCTGGAAGGGAAAAAGAAGAGCTGGAAAATGTACAGGACCAGGCCATTTTGTTCRTGCTGAGCACATCAAATATTTAGTCTCTACCAGGCAACTTAATTCAAAGCTCATTTCCATTCTTTCTCAGGGCATCACTGAGACACCAGCAGGATTTTGGCACCCTCTGAGCTGGGTATCCCTGTTTCACAGGCTGCAGGACAGCACTGGATTAAACGAGGCTTCTGTGGACCCTCCTAACTCTGGATGTGCCACTTGAGCCAGACTTAAACTCTTCCAGCTGGTTCACCTGCAACTCCAGCAACTGCTTCCCCTTTAGCACCTGCAGCCATCAAACCAGAATCCCATCKACAGCACCCTGAGTCATGGAATGGTTTGGGTTGGAAAGGATCTTAAAGCTCATCCAGTGCCACCCCTGACATGGGCAGAGACACCTTTCACTGTCCCAGGGTGCTCCAAGCACTGTCCAGCCTGGCCTTGGGCACTTCCAGGGATCCAGGGGCAGCCACAGCTTCTCTGGACACCCTGTGCCAGGACCTCCCCACCCTCACAGGGAACAATTCCTTCCCAATATCCCATCCATCCCTGCCCTCTGGCAGTGGGAAGACATTCCCTGTATCCTGTCACTCCTGTTCCTTGTCCAAAATCCCTCTTGGGGACCCTTTAGGCCCTGCAAGGGGCTCTGAGCTCTCTCTGGATCCTTCTCCTCTTCAGGTGAACACCCCCAGCTCTGCCAGCCTGGCTCAGAGCAGAGGGGCTCCAGCCCTTGGAGCATCTCCATGGCCTTCCCTGGACCTGCTCAGAGAAATCAGGAGAAATTTTTGGCAGGTTGAGGGGACCCAGGAGCAGTGAAAAAGGGGCAAAATTGAGACAATTTCTCAGCCAGCACTGGACTCATGAAGCCTGAGAGGAGAACCTTGGTCAAATCCCTRAGCCAGGTACTGGAACTCAACCACCTCTGACAAAACTGGGACCCAAAGCCCAGGAGACACTCAGTGAATCCCATTCCCACACTGCTGACAGCCCAAAGGACRGGGAAATCACAGCTCAGAGCAGCAMACTGGGTGTCTGAGCACAGATCTGGGCTTGCCCTCAGTCTTGGGGCTGGGATGGGGGTGGTAACCCCGGGCTGACCCCGAGCAGACGCTGCTCTCACAGCTCCTTCACAGAGACCTGTCCCTGCTCAATCCTCGAAATCCTGCATGTGTGCTCTCAAACCAAAAGGCTCAGCCACACAGAGGCAGCTCTGGAGAGCTGAGGGGCTCCTCTGAGTATCAACATCCCAAAAGTACAACAGGGTGGCTACAGACTCCAGTGTCCCCGCTGCAGCCCCAGCCCAGAGCAYCCAGGGCTTTGTGCAGCCATGTCCTGCAAATCCCCAAGGACAGCAGGTCTGACTTTGCTGTCAYCTCACCCAGGGTGACTCCCACAGCCCAGCCTGTGGCTGTTGCATCTGAGAAGGAATTGGCTCATGGGTAGACACCCCTCAGCTTCYTCTCACCCAGATCCTGCTCCCTCCTGGCAGCCCAACCCCAACAATCTCAGTCACCATCGCTCTGCCTCACCTGGCTCTGGTCTCCCATTCTCCCTCCAGACACCACCAGTCCCCCAAAAACTCTGCAAATAAAGGAACCAGGTACCTACTGCCYGTCCTGCTGGCACCCGAGGGCAGCAGGTGAGAACAGGAGGCTGCAGGAGGGCTCAGGATGGCTGGAAACACAGCACCACGTCCCTTTGGGCTAGAAAACAACAAAAAAAGACACTTCAGTCATAATTCAGTCCTACAAACGGGACCCAGACCCACAGTTTGGTGGGAAGGAGGGCAAGTCCTGGCAGCTGGAGGCAGCTCAGAGGGAAGGAGCAGGGCTGAAGCCCCTGCCAGCAGCTCATGGAACAGCTCGACCAAGCACCACGTGCTCCTTCCCTTTCCCAGACACCAGGGCAACAAATGGCAACAGCTCCAGCAGCAACGAGGGGGGATCCAAAAGGAATCAGAGAGGGCCAAAATAATGATAGACTGAACAGCAGTGCTTTGGGGAGGCTGGTGTACCTGCCAAGCAGGGTCTGGACCCCACAAGGAGCCTCTCCCTGTGTTACAGAGGGCTTTTTATTTATCCCAGCAGGTTCAAATCCTGCCCTCCCACCAGCATTTTATACATTTGCAGCCCGTGAGGGGACAACACGACACCAGGAGGATCCAGATCATGGCAGCAGAGGCTCTGTGTGCCTGTTTTTTAAAAACACACTAAAAACTCTCCCACCCTTATAAACACAGGGCTCTAACTTCAGTAACCCCAGCATTTTGGCCTGCAGCTTCAGCTGGCATTTGCTCCCAAAAACTTTGCTATTTCTGTCCCTCCACCACAGGAATTACTGCAGGGGGAAAGCAGCCCTTGGAAGGGTTATYCTGGAAACCAGGGCCAGCTGGGGATCTGAACACTCGTGCTGTCCAAGGGCCTGCACACATCTCAGGCATCAATATTTAACAAGCTCGGGTTTGAACTGCACACGAGAGGCCAGCCCACTGCTGCAGATGTCACCAGCAGGAGCCAGAAACAGTTTTCCCCCAAATACACAATTTTTGGGGATATATTTGGCATGTGCCAACTAAGCCAGACATGGGGACAAACAGAACACGAGCCACAGGGGCTGGTCAGGTTGGAAAACTCGGTGTGTTGCTCCTGCAGTGAGGAATGGGGAGATGCACCCAGGGCACTGAGGAACCGGTTTTTAAAGAATTAAGTGCCCAAAAATTCCCGTGTTCCAACTTCTGCGGATTTTGAGCCCAGCACAAACTGCCAAGCTCAATCCATCCATCCGGCGACCACAGAGATCAGGGACAGAGCTGGACTGTGTCCTCCAGCACTATCCTACACCCGGCTCTCCTCTTGAGCCCATCCTCGTTACTGGCTGGGGCTGAGAGAGCTGGTGCTTGGCTCGAGGAGGCTGCAGTTAAAGGGAAGAAYCACCAAATACATCGTTAATTGGCGGGGAAAGAGGCGCCGATTGACACAAGGACCTTGACCCACCCCGCGRGGCGCCGGGCCCGCCATGAGCCCCCTCCTGCCGCCCTCACCACTCACCCTCAGCCCGCCTTCACACGCACCGCAGTGTCCCGCGCGCCTATTGGCTGGCGGGGAGCGGGGGCGGCTCTCCCAGCCAATCGGTACCGCCCTCATTAGGCTCGGCCCGCCCCCTCAAGCAGGAAGCGGGTGGAGACGCGAGCMCCGCGGCCTCGACGGGAGACGGGCAAGTGAGGGGACGGGCCGTTGCTCTCCGCCCGGCGGGGCCTCCGCGGCTGTACCGGTGTGAGGGAGCTCGCTCGCCCYCGGCGCCCCGCCCCGGGACACGCCCAGAGACCGGCGGGTGTTGTAGTTCCTGCCCAGGTGCAACCCGGCCGCCGCATGCCCACGCAGACTACCACTCCCGGCATGCCTCGCGCCCCGCCGCCCAATCGCGGCGCGCTTTGTTGCGGGGGTGCGGCACGCGCGGAGGYCCCGTTCAAGATGGCGGACGACAGTGAGACAGCAGTGAGGCGGCCACCGGCGAGGACTCCGCGGCCGGCGGCGGAGGAGAACGACCACGAGCATTGCAGCGACTGCGAGAACGAGGCGGAGCATGGCTCCAACCGGGGGTGAGCGGCGGCCGGGACCGCGTGCCGCGGCGGTGGCGGGGCCCATTGAGGCGAGCAGCGGCCGGGAAGTGAGGGGTGTCCCTCCCCTCGGGTGCGCTGATTGGTTGCCGGGCAGCATCGCGGGCAGCGATTGGTCCAGCCGCCTGTCAGTCTGGCGGGGGGGGCGGTGCCGCTGGCGCCCATTCACGCCCGCTGCGGGAGCGTGTCCGAAGCTCAGCAGGGTCGGGCGCGGCCGCGGCGTGGATGGGTCACGGCACGGGGCTGCGAGTGCCTTTTTGGGGCAGAAATARGCCAAATTAGCGGCTCCTCTTGGTCTTGCGTTAGGGTGTGTCTCCCTGCATTCCCACTGCCCTCCCGCACAAGCCGCAGCCCATTCCTGGMATTTCCATCCCCACGGGTGACTCCCAGGGTGGTGGCACGGTTGGATGCGTGATTCTGCTTTCCGGAGCGTGTGGCATCCTCGTGCCCTGGAATAATCCCGGCCTTGTGCACACTCATGCCGTCGTTATCCTAAACACAGCCCAGGGTTTTGCAAAGCTCTGCCTACATTGTCTCGTGGTCGGAGGAACGCGGCCTGCAGAGGTATGAAATGGTGGAATAACAATAACAAGGCAGGGAGTGAGCACAGGCAGCGAGGCAGGTCCTTATCTCAGTAGGGAAGAGCTGGAATGCTTAACATAGCACCCTAGATACTCACTGCCTTAATTAATACGGTGCAGAGCTGCCTCACTGTGCCTGGGATTTGCAGGAGAGGTTTCATCCTCATTCCTGCTGTGAACAGGAACATCACTGTGTGGCTTTCCAGAGGTTTCCAGCAGTTTTGCACCTTGCTCTTCCCACACCTGAGCCTCACTGGGCTCCTCCTACTCACCTGGTGCCCCAACAGCCTCTTCCCCACTCCTGCAGAGCAAAGACTGTGGGCTTGGAGAGYCCTTCTCCCTCCATCAGCAGCTTTCCATAGGCAATCTGCTGCCCAGGAGCTGAAGCGAATAAAAGGTCACACAAGAAATATCACAGARGCTTTTTTTTATGACAGCACAGCTGCCCATTTATATTTTATTTCCCTCCCGGGTGTGGCACCGTGTCTCAGTTTAATCGGGTTTAGCYGTGCTTGGGGAGATTTTTATTTTCTTTGCCTCTGACATGATTAGGTTTGTGGAAGCCAGAGCCGAGCAGAGGAGACACGGTGCTCAATCACTGCTCTTCCCCAGCCCAGCGGTTCCTCCTGCCCTTTGCCAGGAAAAGGTGTGTCCTCAAGCCCTCCCTGGATCCTGGCATGGGCACCCCAAGGAGCTGGAATGCCACAAGCAGCCTGGGGAATATCCAGTAGGAAATGGTTTGGATTGCTTGGGGAAGTAGCACCAAAAGCGTGGCTGGTGGGTGCAGATAAGAAAAGCGAGGCAGGGAGGCATTGGAGCTCTGGCAAATCTGGCAAATCAAAATAGCCCCAAAACCCAACAGAGACCCACCCAAGCGGTGGGAGGGAGGAAGATTTCCTTTCTGGATGCACARCCATTAATTCTGTTGATTCCATACCATCCCATTACACTGGGGTGTGGGAGTATTTCCGGTCACCCCAGTGACAGCATCCCCAAAACCAGGCTTTGAGCTGCTAGTGTTTGTAGAGCCACACTCAGAGCCCTGCCTGTGCCAGTTTATGCAGGGATCTTGGCTCTGAGGTTTAAAACATAAAAGTGTTCCTTAGTGAAAGCAATACTTCCTTTCCTTTTAAGGACAGGAAAGAGGAATTGAGTTTCCTCAGCCTCATCCCATGTCAGCACTGGGAAGTGGCTGCACTGCTCTCTGCTGCGCCTGTCCGAGTTGATTTTTCCAAAGAAAATGATCCCATTTTGGTATTTATCACGTTTTCCTTTGTGTGGAGAGAGCTGCTGGTGTGTCCCTGGTGGCTGTGGAGGGTTAATTCCCTGGCTCTGGAAAGGCAGGAACATTGCACGGGCTCAGCCTGGTGGGATTTGTCACCCCTCAGGCAGCCAGAGCAGCAGTGACACCAAGGACTGGAGTCTCCCAGTCCCGTGGAACAATTCCATTATTGCCAAAACCACCTGGGGAAGCTGTTTCAGGTGGGAAATTTTGGGAGTGCCCTGTGGCACAGCTGGCTTGTTGTTTGACGGGGTGTCAAGGGGCAGAGGGGCTTTTCCAGAGGGGCAGCTGCAGTTTTGGCAGTCCCTGCCTGCACTTAGCCATGAGAAGGTGCTCCTGGGACGAGCCTGAGCTCCAGCACGTGGGATTCAGGTGTAGGTGAAGGTGTGGAGAGCACACTGATGGCACGCTGGGCTCTGGGAGCTGAGCTCTGCCATCTGCAGATCCTCCCTCCCTCCCTTCCTGCCGCAGCCCCTAACGAGATTACAGCCTAAGCACCGGGCCTGATTAGCCCCGGCTTGGCAGAAGGATTTTCCAGCACCTAAATACGGAGCAGGGATCTACTCCTTCTCCTCTGACACCTTTCAGCCTCCCACCAGGCTGAGGGAGCCCACAAGCTGGAGTTGTTGCCCTTGTGCTTCCTYCCTCCCTCGGGTTTGGGAATTCGGTGGGAGCCATGGATCTGGGGGATAGATATGTGGGTGCTGAGCACCAGTTTTTGTCTTTGGTGTTTTCCAGCCTCCAGAGGGGCTGAGCACAGTCAGTCTGAGTAGGTCTCACCCTGAGCAAGCCCGGCATCTGTCTTRGGTGCTTCCAAAAATAAATGTTCAGGATTCCTGAGGTTATGGGGGTGTTTTCTGGGCAGTGGTTGATGCTGGAGCCTTTGCCTCCAACTCAAGGAACTGTCTGGTAACAGAAAAGAAGGGRTTGGAGTGCTAAGTAATGGCCATGATGGTGGGAATGCCTTTCTCAGAAGGGAAAAGTGTTTTCCTTAGCCAGAAAAGAGACCTTGGTGATCCCACAGGGAATCAGGAGATGTTTCACATGGTGCAGCCGAGGTGCCCTTCTCCAGCTACTTCATCTCTCAAAACACCTCAGAATGGAAAGGAATATGGGAGGGAAAAAGGAAGGAAAAAAGCCTTAAGTGCAGTTGGGAAGGCTGTGGGCTATTGGACAGGAGGTGGGCTCCAGCTCACCCTTCCTGGGGATGAAACTGCTCTGGCCCTCGGCTTTGTGGTTCAGGTCAGCTGCAGTGAGATTTTGAATGGTGGTGGCTTGTCCCAGGACACTGGTGGGATATTGTCATTAATTTGGGGACTGTCTGAGGGGTGCAGCTACCCTGGAGAAAAAATGCTTGCTTTCCTAAATAGATTTATGGTGGAAAATACCTTTAATTGTTGCTCCTCTTGGTGTAATGAATGGGACCTTCAGGTGTTCCAGYATTTTCCTACATGCTGGTGACTCCTCTGCAAGCTTGGTTTTCATCTCCTGGCTGGAACAGGGCTCTCCCCCAGGCCATGGCACCTGGAATGCAAAAACCTYATCCCACCTTCTGCCACCCTGATTTCTTCCAGGTCACGACAGCTTTGCTCATAAATCAGGGAGGAATTTTCTCAGCGCCTTCACCTGCGAGCCCAGCGTGGCTGGGCTGAGCTCATTAGCACCAAGCTGGGAGTTGGCAGCTCTGATTTATGGAGCAAAGCGATGCCGACAGAGTATGAGGGGAGCATTTTGTCTGTCTCATCTGACACCTGCAGCATTTCAATGTGCAGATGAGCTGGGAACACATGTTTGTCTCCTTTGGAAGGGGCGAATTCCAGCATCAGCCCTTAGGGCGTCCTCAGRAATGCCCCGGTGCTGTCAGTTGGTGTTAAAATTGATAGGAAATGGTTTGGATGTGTTTATYGTGGCTCCAAGGTGGCTTTGCTTATCCCAGGACTTCATCGTGGCCAGGATCTGCTCGTGCTCCTCCCCAGGGAGTTAAAAAAGCCATCACACATTTGTCACCCAAATCAATATCAGTGTCAGCAGCGCTGTGCTGCGATCGCTGCTGCTGTCATGTCCAAGCAGCATCTCCTGGATGGAGGCAAAGCCCTTTCCTGGCACTGGGAGGGAAGGTGGAATTCCTCCCAGGGATGGTTCAACAGTGCCCCGGAGTGCTGGTCCATGGAGCTGCTGTTTCCCAGAGCTGTGGCTTTGCTCCTGCTCCTCTCTCTACTCCCTTTGTCCACTTCTGGATTCCCATYGATCAGCAGAGCCTGTGGGGAGCACCAGGAGATGGGAAACATTCCTGATGTGGGAACGAGCAGTGGTTCAGGGGGAGCTACTTCACAAAAGGGGGTGAAGAGAAGCTCCCCCTTCTTCTCCAGAAGTGCATGAAGGGGGGCAGTGAGAGGAGCTTCTCTACACCCCCTTTTGTGGAACAGCTCGCTCTGAACCACTGCTCATTCCCACACCAAAAACATGGGAAAATTGTTCCCATTTCCTGGYGTTCCMCACAGGCTCTGCTGATCGATKGGAATCCTTTTCCCCAGCATGTGCTGCTTGTTCAGGTTTTATGCAGAGGAAAAGCTTCCCCAGCTTTTCATGGAGCCCAGCAGCTCCATGTTGTGCAAACTGCCCTCCTCTGCTCCCTGGGCCAGTGCAGCCCATCACCTTGGCTTTCTGTGCTACATCCACAGGCGTGTCCCAGCTTCATCCCTCATAAAACATTTCTCCATCCACTTTTCCCTAGTTTCATAACCTTCTTGCTGCTCTGCCCAGGCATTTCAGAGAATGGTTGGGTTGGAAGGGAGCTTGAAGATCATCCAGTTCCATGGGCAGGGRCATCTTCCACTTGCATTTCTTCAAGCTCTGTTCCCCTCCCAGCTCCTTCTTGTTCTGACTTTGCTGAAATAAATAGCTGGATGCTGCTCCAACATATTTTCCAGTATGTTTCCTTTTATTTTATCCCTGCTCTACCYTCTTCACCACTATCTTGTGTTTGCTGAAGACGTTAAACAGCTCCAGGAGTGAGCAGTGCTTGTGGGGATTCCAGTCTTGTGCCTCTGAGCGAGTCAGATCTGTGGGGTTGTCCCTGGGGAGAGCTGTTCTGGGGTGCAAGGACTGAGACACCTCTGTTGTAGAGTCCAAATGCACTGGCTGTRTCCTGAGCCCACCTGGCAGCACTGAGGGCCAGGACAGAGCTGGCACACGCTGTCCCCAATTTGCTTTGCAGGAGACCCCTCATGTGTTGACATGAGCCCTCCTGGCCCCAWGTCCCTCCCTTTCCCCTCTCATCCCTCCACTCAGACCTGTTTCAGCCTCTCCAGGATTGAATTTCCTCCTGAACCCTGACCTTCTCGGAGGCTGTAGTGCCTCCTCCCAGYTTGGGGTGTCTCAGCTCCCCCATAACTTGTGCCAGGTCATCCCATGCAGGATCACAAGATCACCATCACGAAATCCCATCTGCCGTGCTGGGAGCAGGCACCTCTCCTGTGTTTTGGCATCAGGGTGGTGCTGGAACAAAGGCCAGGCTCAGGGAGGGCTTTCACAGCAGCAGCAGCAGCAGCTTTTGGGGGTGATCATGGTCTGGATGTCCAGGGCTGCCCTGTGTCCCTGGCAGGAGGAGCTGTGCCCTGGTGCAGGCACTTCCCACCCTGCACTCSCAGAGATTCGCTGCTCAGTGTCAATTTTCCACCTCCAGCATAACTGCATAATAATTTTCCAATAAACAGCCACCACCTCTGCAGGTGAGGTGGCACTCAGCACRGTGTCCTTGGCCACCAGCCCTTCTGTGGTGCCTGATCCTGCTCTGGGGCTTTATCCCTGAGGCTGGACCAGCATTTGCTGCTTCCACACCTATCCCTGAGTGAGCAGGGGTTGTGGGTGYCTGGCTGTCAGCCAGAATTCCAAATCACAGCACATTTTGGTGGAGAACGCAGGCACTCATGAGGACTTGGAGATAAGTATACTRATTGGGAGAAAATAATGGGCAAAACAAGTATTAAGCTATGTTTTTAAAGCAGTGTGATARTTATGTATTTGTGCTGTAATYGTAGTGAAGATTCTAGGGGTGGATTGMGTGTAATTTTTTTTGCTTTCTGTTTTGTGTTGGGATCTTTCGTGTAGGTTGGGATCTTTTCAGTTTAGGTTACTCGATCTTTTGCTTGTGTTGTTGTAAGTAAAGTTGTATGTTGAATTTGGATTTTAATGATTTCTTCTCGAAGGAGGAGGAAAAAGCCAAAGCTGGACATCCCCCTGCCCCACAGGGTGGATTTTGGCACGGGTGGCAGAGCAGGGTGATGTGACAGCAGAGATGTGGTCACCTGCTGCATGGGGCACAGTCCCACTGCCAAACAAACCTGTGGGGTGGGAGGTGTTGSTGCTGGTCCCTTTTTGGGAGCTCAYRGGGARTTMTGTGCCATACACAGGGACTATTCCCCTTCCTGGAGACTTGGGCTCAGCAGGGAGCCTGTGTTTTCTTTACAGCGCTTCAGAAACCAAACAAATGCTCTCCCAAAAGAAAACCTCAAGGTTCCAGTGATRTTTGTTTCGTTCCTCAGGGGCCTGAGTCCAGCAAATGACAGYGGAGCCAAAAAGAAGAAAAAGAAACCCAAACGGAAGAAAGAGAAAGGAGGAGGAGACCAGGCCGACCAGGCTCAGGACCAGCCAGTGAAGGTGACCACCCCCTTCCTGGAATCCCAGCCTCCCACAACAGCCAGCCCCATTCCAAACCTCCCTGGTGTCATTTAGGGCAAGGAAAGAGCTCCCAGTCGTGGTTTTAGGCACTTGCTGCTCAAAACCCTTCAGATTTAGAGTGATTTCCCAGCCTGGCTCTGTGCGTGGGAATTGCTGTTGCTGCAGAAAGTGTTTGCAGAGCAGTCTGGGGATAATGYAGTCCTTGGCTGGATATCCCAGCCAGTTCCAGGGTCACACTGGCACCTCCAAGTGCTTCTTCCCAGACACCAGCTGCCTGTCACAGGCAGGAGCTGCCACCTGCCAGCTCCGAGTCCTGCCCGCAGCAGCACGGGGCTGACATCTGATGGTGTTGATTTTTGCTTRATTATCACAAAAGCAGCAGCTGGGGAGAGCAGGGTCTGTTTTATCCCCTGGGCTTTGCCCAATCCTCTCCAGCAGCCACTGGAGAAGCAGCACAGGACACGCCAGGGTTTGCCCCTCCTGGCCCTTTTGTCCCCTCTGGTGATGTGGCAGAGGACACACATCAGCAGAGGCTGTTTTCTCTCTGRTGCCCAATTCTCATCCAAATATTTTGAATATTTTGTCCATCTCACTGTTCAGAGCTTTAAATTGAGGCTTTGCATTTTTCAAACTAAATTCCTCAGGGATCASAGAGCAGCTGAGGTTGGAAATTCAKTGCAGAGCCATCCACCCTGAGGAAGAGGAGGATGAAAGTGTCTTTCATCTTGACTCAACCTCTCTGCCTTGTCCCAGCCYGTGGTGTCCAGGGACTCCTCTGGAAGCTGCAGTTTATGGGTACAGATCCAGYTTAGAGGGAGGAGGCTGAGCAGTGAGACAGAAAAGCCACTGAAGGAATCCCAAGTGCAGGGTGTGGGTTGATCCATCTGTCCCTGCAGGATGTCGGGTGGGTAGGTTTGCTCCTGGGGCTCACAGTCTCCTTTTARTGAAGCTTAAAGCATTTTCAGGCAGTTTATGCATCCCCTTTGCCCCAGGAGTGTCTGGAAACCAGGTGTGGGTGTGTGGCAGGTGGCTGGTGAGAGGGTTCATGCAAGGATTGAGGATGGCCAGGGAGGCTCCTCCTGCTCTCCCTTTCCTGGCAGCACCCACAGCAGGGTCAGCTCCATGTTCCCCTTAAAGAGGAGCCCARATACAAACCCAGTGGCTCAGCTCACTCATTTTGTCTTTCCACTCTCCTTTTCTGCCCTCAGGTGAACTCTTTACCTGCTGAGAGGATCCAGGAGATTCAAAAAGCCATCGAGCTCTTCTCCGTAGGTCAGGGCCCTGCCAAAACCATGGAGGAGGCCAGCAAGAGGAGCTACCAGTTCTGGGACACACAGCCAGTGCCCAAGCTAGGTATGGMAGCTCCTCAATGCCCTGGGGATCCTGGGGGAGGCCTTGTGGTCCCCAGGCTGCTCCAGGAAGCCCTCAGAGATGCTGATCTGTGRTCATGATCTGGCCCTGCCTGGCCTGGGCTTCAAAGGCATCAAAAACACTTCACCATTCAGCATCGTGGGCTGTGGGGGTCTGGACAGCTGTGGGTGGATACAGAGGGGTGAGGAACCACTTCAGACATTACCCTGATGCTTCCTGTGTTTGGGCAATCCTTAATCCCAGTTTTTAGCCCTGGAGCTGGGTCTCCCCAGCCCTCTGTGCCCAAGTTTCATGTGTGGTGTTGCCACATCCAGGTCCCAGAGCTGTTCAGCTGTCCCCTTTCTGAGGTAAAGCTTCCCAGACAGGTGGGGTAACTTGGGGTCATCCAGGGCTGGGTGGTGGTGGGAGCTCTGGGGAGCAGATCCAYGTGCTGAGCTGCCCCATCCCTGATTTGCTGGGCTCACATCCCTCTCTGGCACGGGCAGGAGCTACAGCTGAGCCAGGAGAGGGGAAACATC